TCTACATCGGGCATGAAGGAATATGAGGTAAGAAATAAATTTCTTCAATTAGCGGATCACTAATTTAGTTTTCATTTCTCTCTCAGGATATTCAGTATACAGAATTGTATGCCTGTATATAATAAAAAAGCTACTTTGGATAGCAAAATTTGTCCTTAGCAACGCCTTTGAACATAAGTTTTGCAGTGAAAATAAATAGAACTTTTCTTTTAATATAATTCAGCAGCCGTTAGTTCGTTTAAAATTATTAAGGAGTTTATGAAAAATTTTAAGAAGTTATTGACGTAATGAATTTTTATTCTGATGCAATATATCAAGTATAATAAACGGACGAACATTCCAAATCTCATATGCAAAAGATTTGGTTTAAATTACATTAATGTAAATTAAATCAGGTGTAAAGTGCATTTTTAATACTAATAAAATAGAAATATCCCTGATGTATAAATAAATGCAAATACTGTTTTAGTGTTATAAAGTTATACCTGATTAAATATTTACTAAGATATTTTATGTTACTAGTAGTACATAGTACTGCACTACTTACTATGCCCTGTAAGGTTTCGACTGATAAAGACACTGATTACTTTGATTAATTTTGTGAAATTATTTTAAGTATTAAACTGTAATTTGTCTCTTTGCTGGTTGAGAAATAGGCTATTATGCCTGCTTCTTTTGCTGTATCAGCTCCCTTATGACTACGTGTAGCGAAAGTTGTAAATTACATTTTTGGTTCTGGCATATTTTGCGCCTTTCATGCTGTTTGCCACTATGCTTCTGCTTTTTTTTTTTTTTTTTAGTTTATTGCATACGTTTTGTTCCAAATTGATATGGAATAGATTTTAAACGTATTATTTCAATTTATTTTGCAATTTATATATAGTATATCAATTTATTTATGTATATATAAAGCAAAATAACACAGTAAAAATTATGTTTTCGATTTATTAAGCCGCAACGAATTAATTCTAGGCTACAATTATACAAGTTTTATCTGACAAAACAAAAACTCTTCCTGTTATGAAATCGCAACTGTAGGCACTGTTAAATCAAAATGGCGCTATACATTCAGAAGAAAGCGTAATGTGTTTCGGAATATGCCAAAACACCATCGTTTATCGTTGTTCAAAGACATTTTTGCATGAAATTTCGTAAAGAACCAGGGCATCGTCGCAACATCAAACAGTGGGTGAAGCAGTTTCAGGACACGGGGCTGTTTGTGAAAGAAAACCAGTCCGAAACGAACAGCAGCCAAATATGAAGTAGTTGAAAAATTCGTGAAATGTTTTCATGAAGTCCTACAAAATCAACACTTCGTGCGAGTTCTCGACTAAATGTGCTTCATGTGACGGTGTGAAATATAACGTTGTGGCGGTATTTTGTAAGGAAACATCTTCAATTCCGGCCTTACACCTTTCAGATAGTAGAGGCTTTAAAATCGTCCAACAAACCGTTGCGTAAAGCTTTCTGTGAGAATTTGCAAGATAAGCTGGACGTAGATGGTTTCTCGAACAGACGTGTGTTAACGAATGAAGCCACTTTTCACGTTTCAAAGTTAATCGCCATAATTTACGATTTGGGGGCCCCCACAATCAGCATGGTGTAATGGAACTTGAGCGTGATTCTCCGAAAGTGAGCGTTTTCAGCGACATTCCCAACAGTTGCATTTTGGCTCTTTTTTCTTCTTGGAAAATTGATTAAGGGGTGCATTTACCAAGTTAAGCTATCAGAGTGGCTGTTCGCTTAGTTGAAGGAAGCGGTTCTTTCCTTCATTTTTCAGCAAGACGATATTCCTCCACTTTGGCATAAAAATGTACATTAATAGTTGAACAATAATGGAGCACCGCATTGCTAAATTGGCCGTGCTGGCTCAAATGATATGCGTTGTTTTGCATATCGTTGCCCCTTGCGATTTTTTTTCAGTCAGGTTTTGTTAAAGACAAAGTGTTTATGCCTTAATCTCCCCAGGGCTTGACCTAGAGAACTCTGCGAAGCTACTGGCTAGGATCTGTACCTAGGCAGTCTCGGCCACGGAGATATAAAATTTAAGAACTTGGTGGTTCTGAAGGCTCCGGTGGTCTGACAAGTCCTAGAGCGGTGTGGCTCTAGTAGCCCGGGGGGTAGCGCCCTCGAGTTAGCTGGGCAATGTCCCACTGAGACGGGCAGCCTGAGCGACTGGCAGGTAGCAAATTGACGACCAGTGCTGTCTGGGAAATGTCCCAGGCGGTGCGTCTCTCTCTCCAAGGTGCGAGAGCAGAGGTTGAACCTCTGTGTCTGGTTTTGAGGGGCGAGGGAACCTGTAGTGCGGTTTAGTCTCGCGGAGCAGGGAAGCCCTAATCTTATTTACTATGCTTTAATTTTCCCAGGACATACAGCAACATCTATAGAAACTTCGATAACTATAGTATCACTGTAAATTTTATTTATCAAAATAAAATTATTACAGTTTTCACAGGTACGCTTTCTTTATCCATTCAATATGAAACGCTCTGTATATATGCAAGTATATGTATGAGTAATGAAACAGACTTAGGTGTAATCTGAATTTAATTGACTTTCAAAATTAAATAAAACAAATACCGAAAGATTAACATTTACAAACAATTTTGGTCTTCATGAATTCAATATATTATCTTTCGGTTGGAAAAGTTCGCCAGCTGTTTTTCAAGTAAATTTTAAATAAGTATCAAGTTTGATTAAATTACTTTGATGACGTTCTCAAAATTTACTATTCCAGTATTTCAGAATTTAATATTCAAAATTTAGTAATCCAACATTTTCCCAAAATTTTGAAGAGCATTGGGTATATTTTAAAATAATATTTAATATATGGGAAAAGAAATATATAAAATTAAAACCTTCTAAGAGCCACTTTGCTAAAGAAAAAATAAGTTTTCTAGGATATGAAGCTCAATCTGGAAAATATGAACCCAGTAAAGCAAATATTTAAGTTATTAAATAATTCTAAGAACTCTAATTCCTCCTAAATTTTTTAGGAGTTACACATACTTCTTCGATGCATTAAGGTGTGCCATAAATTTATTCCAAATTGTTAAAATATTAGAGGCTTTCTAAAAAATTTAGTTAAGAAAGGTACTCCATATAAATGCACAAATGAATGCCAAACAGCCTTTAAAAAGTTTAAAAATGCCTTAGTTTGCAGACCCATTCTAACTCTATTTAATCCAAATACCCCTGTTAGGTATTTGTAGACGCATCTAAAGTGTTGTTGCAATTTTAACACAAGAGCATTCAAATGGTAATTTACGTTCTGCAGCTTACAGACCATATAGGACATGCTCTAAACACAATAGTGAAATTAAAAAGCAAATGGAAGAACTATTACATGCATACATAATAAAGCCCATTTAATCCTTACGCTGCTCCGTAACTTTAGATCATAAAAGTGTTGAAAAAAAAAAAACTATGTTTTGTATTGATAATAGGAAATTTAACAAAATGACGGTGCATAGTTGGAACCTATGTGACCATGTCCTTGAAGACATTCATTTTCTTTCTCATCATTAATTCAAGAAGATCATATTATTTTCTTCAATACTGATGAACCTGAAGAGACACCGAGAACCACACACAATTAAATAAATAACATTAAAATGTAGCTGTTAAATCTATGTCGATAAGCAATTAAAATATGCAACTATAAATACTTTTCGATTCAGCATTGTTTAGCCCATTTTCTAAATTTGAAAATGTTGCCTATCAAACACTTAACAAATGAAGATGAATTACCCTTCTTTTTAAAACTATAGTGAAATACAAGTTGAGAAGAAACTCTTTGTGAAACTGATCATGTTGCGTTTTAAGCAAAATAATATCATTTCCTTGCTGTGTCCGCTTCGGTTAATTCTTAGTTTTCTCCCTTTTCTAAATATTCTAAATTTTGGTGAATTCTAGATTATAGACAATCAATGGATCCATTAATCATAGCAGAGAGGTTTCTAATGAGATAGATAAGAAAACAAAATTGCGTGCTGGCATTATTTTTCTGTCGGTTCTGTGGAATTATTTCTTCTTTTATACGTCTACTTGCAATATGCAATGCCATGAATGTTTTTTCTTTTGCTTTGCACTTGTGAACTTTTTTTTTTCTTTTTCCCTCAAATAAAAAGTGTGAATTAGGCGAAATACAGTCACAATCACAGTTTAATGCTATAAAGTACAAAATAAAATCCTAATGAATGTTATTCTTCAAAAATAATTCAAATTCATAACACAGGGCAAATTACGTACCAACAAAAAAATTGTCATATATTTTCAGTGCATTTATTGTTTTTAGCTCGCTCAGGAAAAGCATGGCTTTATTTCAAATTTACGTAGCCAGAAATATCAGGATGCTTAGAAAATTTCTCTACCTGACACAAAGGTTTCGCTAAGAAGTCCAAATTTCTTAAACCTGCCAAAGTAAAGAGGTATTTTCTTGATTTTAATGCCAAAATAACCCTATTACTTTGTACCTGGCTTTATACACTTTTTACATATTCTCTTAATTTCTTAGTTATATTTCAGAATTCACATATATATATATACTTTCTTAACGACGTCACACAAAATACTCTAAGCCGTATATATACGGCCTTGTGAGTCAAAATCGGTTAAAAATATTAGCTTTTATGTTTCAGTTAGCAGTATCAGCTCAAATCTGTGAGTTTTAACATTCAGCTTTGTGGTAATTAGTTAAGTTCAGTAGTTTTATGCAAAATAAAATTTTTCTGCCATAATGCTCATGAAGTTTCTCGTCCCTTCTTCGTCTGATTTAGTAGTACGAACAGAATAGTCAAATTGTTACATACGTATTATATGTATTTAAGTGTAATTTATATAGATTATATATATATATATATATATATATATATATATAGTTACACCTCTCCATCCGATTGCTACTAATGAAATTTTAATAATTAATAAAAATATTGTAAAATTATAATTCAAATGAAGAAGCAGTTTCTTATATGATATCTCTTATATTTTTCTTGCAGTTGCCCCAGCTATTGTTGACATCGAACCTGAAACAACTATGATAGTAGATGAAGGTTATGAGGTTCGTCTGGAGTGTTCTGCTACCGGTCAGCCACGTCCTCTGTACACGTGGCGTAGTGACGAAAAGAAACCAATTCTATTCAAGACTAGGAGTGATGTAAATAAAGCGATAGAATTCAAAATTCGGCAACGTAAGTTCCATATTTAGGAAGGGTTTAACGAAACTTTACCTTTATTTACAGTTAGTAATTTTAGTGTTTACCTTTTCATTTCCCCCCGCTTCTGCCCTTCAGTTAAAAAAAAAAAAAAAAAAAAAGGTAAAACTGAATATTAAGGGCCATTTTGGCGAATTTTCGAAAAATCGCCAATTCGCCAAATGTGTTATTTTCGCGCATTTTAGAAAATCGCTAACTCATCGCCATATTAGATGGTAGCGATTAATATGTAAAACAGAAGTTCGAGAAAAACAACGGAAAAGTATTTAAAAATTAATAACTATGTATTTTAGGAGATCAACAATATTAAGACTTTTCAGAATACCATATACCATTTTTAAGACAGTAGCAAAAGGGTGTTAAACGTTTTATCACAAAATTTTAAGAACATGTAATAAGCAATAAATAAGAAGAAAACCTTGATTCATACATGAGCTAAAACTTTAAAAGAATGCTTTAAGCGAACCATAAACGAAACGAAGATAAAATTCAAAATTTCGATCGACTGAAACATAAGCCATAGTACAGTAAAAACAAAAATTGGTTAAACGGATTTAACTACGAAATTTTTATTTTTACAATAAATTTTGATTTTTAATGAACAATAGAAAACCACATTTGTTATATCTACATTAAAATATAACAATACAATGAAGAAAAAATTCAAAATGTCGCGCTTATTTCAACCCCGCCCTTAATCACATATAATTTACTTACATCTAATGAGAGTAACGTTTATTGTGACTTATATTTAAACCAAAATCTGTATTAATCAATTTTCGTATTTCCAGTTCAACTGTGTTAATCAACCATCCATAATAAACTGATTCGTGCATTTCTAACCCCACAAATGTGTTAGTTGAAGGATTAGACAAAAGTTCCCTCGGAAAACCAAGAACCCCTTTCTCTTTGGACCTCGTACTTAGGTGGACCGGTAACACGACATCTCCATTCAAACAAATCTGTCACATCTTCCTTCAAACTAATTTCGTACTATTTTTACACTTAGGGCATTCGTACACATTCGAAATCAAAACATCTTTCACCCTTATCTTGAAACCGAATCAAATAAGCAAAATCCACATGTTCAGCTCTTTTGACGCTCGCCATTTTACTCACACAATTCCTGAGAAGCACAGTGAAATGACGAAAATTGATACTTTAATACTTGCTGGGTGTCAGCGAATATTATCGCTTTCTTACCAGTATCTCAAATACACTGGTTAAAGGAAACGTAACGCATGCAAAACCACAAATTGCGAATGACGAATATTCAAGATCTAAGTACGAATATTCAAAAGGCTCGGTTAAATAATACGAACTGGAACCCTAACGATTTTCATTACGTCATAAAAATGGAGGTTGCCAGCTTTGGCGCAATTTCGCTTAACTTAGCGACTGGCCCGTATTCTCTAGTCTAGTTTTCTATTATGTATTGGGTTTCGGATATTCTCGCAGCATGTGACCTGCCACCACCCATCTGGTGATTTATCGCCCATGAACCTCGATTGTAATCAAAGAAACTGATAACATTACTTTTCTAAACCACTTAAAAAGCAGCAGTGCATAAATACCGTATATTCCGGGGCATAACGCACACTTTTAATACAAAAATAGGACCGAAATTTACGGGGGCGCGTTATACGCCGGATATAAAAATGATAGCTAAAAATAAGGAAAAAAAATGTAGATATTTTTACATGTACCAAAATGCCGATTATTTAGAAGAAATGGCATACCTTATGAAATTAAACATTTTCATTAGCGAATAACATGAAGAGTTCGTCATGTTCATCTTCCGTTAAATCTTTAGGCGTATCATCGAATTTTGTTTCATCTTCATCATCACTGTTATTTTGATCCATAAATAAATAATCATTATCCGTTCCATCTTTTATTGACACCAAACATCCTTACTGTAGCAGGATTTCTATTTTATTTCGCAAAATGAATGTCTTCGCAATTGAAACCAGCATTATGTTTATTTCTTTTCGCGGGAGCCATATTTACTACTAAAAGGAGCACTAGATTAACAGGATTTCAACTAAAATGTTGGCTTCAAATGGCTACAGAAAGTTAAAACATCTAACTCCTAATTCCACGAATTCATTCAAGAACTACTCTACAATAGAATTCTTTTGGAGATCTGCACTGAATACAGTCCACCCTCTTTGCCGGAATATTTACTCCCTGAAGCATTTAACCCACACGCACAATTGTTCCCCTTATCGCTTGTCTGTGTGGTTTACCTTTGTTGGAAAGGCTAAGACAAATGTTGGAATAAGTGACCTCAAAAGATAAGCACATGTATTTTTTTAGGTTCAGAAAAATTCACTTATGTAGTCCTAAAGAGAATCTAGAATCGTATCTCTCGATGGTCATCATTGTGTTTCATATGCATTAAAAAGCATTTAAAGCAATCCTGTTTATCATGTGGCAATTGAAGCCATGCTAGTTCATATAAATCAGTAGAAATTCTTTTACAACTAGAATCATACATAAAGCAATACCGGTATCCATAAGTATTTTTCATTCACAAAAACACTGTCTTGATGTCTATCAGCATGTCACAAATATGTATGTCTCTGTTGTGGACAGATCGCCACCACAATTCAGAAAGGTGATTTGCGGCATCAGGAGTATTGTTCCTCTATTTTAAAATTCGTCTGATCTCATCTTGATAGCACTATTTGAACTTAGCAATTGACAGATCTAAGTTCACTGATATCTTTCGTCCGATGGACTGGGGTGTTACAGGAATATTGTGAGTCTCTCTGAAAAAAGGCCAAACGGGAAGAGATTCAAAGACAAATCATATCGTTCATTATTAGTTAATCAATACTAATAATTTAAATTAATTAATTAAACTCATTAATAAATCATAAAATTCATAACCAAAGATAGTATTGCAAGAATTCCGAATTCAGAGATGTAAGTCTGAAATTTAGATTCTAGATCAGAATTCATTACGTTTGCAGATACCAAAATTCTTTTATGTCATATTATATTCAATATAAACAGTTTAAGTCAAAATATATACTAGAAGTACTATACTCTAAAGGTTTCTCGTATGTTTCAGATAAATTTAATAAGAAAGAAAGCCGAAATTTGAAATTTCTACGTAATAACAAACGTTTTTAATTAAAGAAAAATTTTAAAAATCTGTGTTTAACAAAAAATTTATTTACGAATGCAGGTTTTAAAAATACTCTTATATTTAATAAGAAAATACAAATAAAATTTAAATTACTTAATCTTTTTGTTCGTTTTCTAAATAAAATTTGGGGAAAGGTTTTGGGTAAGAATTTAGGTTTCAATTCAAATTTCAACAGTCGCAGATGACCAAATCACTTGGTAGACAAATGGAGTCATGTGAATGACGCAGTGTTCCTATAACATGAAATTACTAGGAATATCCAGGCATATTAGTACAAGATTTTTACGTCCAAGGTTACCAAAATTGTTCAATAACTTCGAGAATGTTCCAGAGCATACACTGCACAGATTGGAATTTTGACAGATTCCGCTGGGATGGCATCCTGAAGCACTGTCACTCTTTTTATCCCACTAAGAAATACGTAGCATTGAAATTGCAATAAAAGTCATTTCATATTTAGTTTTAGTATTTACTATACGGTTTTTCTCATATTAGTTTTGATACTGTATTTAATTTAATGAATGCTTTTATTGGACACTAATAATTCTTTTTAGATATTCAACGTTTTCTTAGGTTATAATAGGAAAGATTTGAATGTCTAAAAAAAAGCGAGAGTTCGAGTTTTGTAATTTTAAACCTTTTTCAAATTCACTAAATTTTATTTATTCGGATATCCCATCCCTAAATTATGACGAAACATTTTCTTTTAGAATAACCAGATTCACTTAACATGTTTTCAAAATGTCTTCAACATTTATTTAAATCTGACGATCTTGCAGGTTTTGGGCAGTTTGGTAACCTTTAAATAACTTGCTCGATTCAGCACAAAAGTGTTTAATAGAAATAATATATCAGTCAGTATAAACACTTGAATGCTAGCTAGTAGACAGAGTTCAAGTGTAAAGAAACTTGCATATAAAAGTGCTCTGAGATGATACTCATAAATTACCTGTTAGACCATGTTAGTTTGTTTGCTTACTAATCATTTGCCAAGTGTTTTTATTACAAAATAATGCATTTATCACTGAAGAATTAAAGAATGAAAATACTTGCTTTAAAAAAGGCGGAACTTATTAGTTTTGGATTCACCAATTCCACATTTTCATCTGCCTTTTTTCACAAAGCTAATATTCTTCTATGCTGCTTTAAATGCTAATATTCAGAACACACTACTCCTAGTACGGATAGACTGGACACATATCAGCCTGTTTTACTTCTACTGTACGGTAAACATGAACTCAGATGAAATTTAAATATTAAAAAAAATAAATTATGATTAAAAATTTATGATTAAAAATATTTAATAATAATTTTTTTTTTAAATTTATGATTAAAAATTTTTAATTTATGAAATTTATGATTAAAAAATATTTTTCTTTTCTTATCAGCTTAACGGTTATACAAAACTTGCCAAAACACAACCTGTGCAGATTGCAGAAAATTTGAAAAAAAAATAATTAAAAATTCAAATTAAAAATTAAATACAAATTAATACGCGCCTAATTAAGCTTTCGCTCAGGTCTCAAACTAAGCTGCGGCTACTGAAGCTGAAGCCGATTAAGCAATTCAGTAGCAGGAAAATCTAACAGAATGACCAGCTAACGAACAGCTGCTGCAGATTTTCTTTCAGAGTGAGTTAACATAAAAGCCTGCAAGCTGATTTCACATTAAGCAAAATTTTGGTAAATATGATTATATCACTCATCAGATCTGGTTTCGTTGAAAAAACGATTAATATGCCAACTATATGTGATTCCGATACCTACTTGATACCACAAAATAGAGCATTGAAACTAATATGAAAAATTCTCGTATTTAGATGACGCTGTTGGTAGCGTTACTTATAAGTTCATGCAAAACGTCACATTAAAGTAAATTCCGCTAGTGATTATATTCTAATTCAGGTAAAGATGTAGATCTATATTTTCGAACTGCAGCTTGAAAATCTCTATTTTAATACGCTCTTACATTCCTTGGTGAAAAACATGCCAGTTTTCTGGAATAAAGGAGTACATGCGAAACTATCTCATAACTCGTAAACTGTAAAATTACTCTTAATCAGTGATTTCGGATGTAATGTTCGTGATTTGTTGCCCTGGACGTTATATTATATATTATGCTACTTAAGGATTTGGTGCATGCATGTGTAACCACTACGTGAGGCTGTAATTTGTCTACCACTATTATGCACACAGGGCGACGCCTTCAGGGATAGGATGGCTAAATGACCGATGAATTCGAAACCTCCTGAAGAATGCTTTCGAGTATATTTCTATTACTGAAAGGAGAGAATTTATGCCTTCTGATCTCTTTTTATAACTGCTTTCCGACTAAGCCTGTGATAAATTCTTATTTCATTTTAGATGGAAATATCTGAAAATTTACTATGTTCACAAAAGAAGGTTTTTTTTACAAAACTATATATATGTATCAGAGTTTAAAGCAAATATTATGCAACAATGCAATTTTACGTGAGAAAATCTGAAATCAGTTTCAAGTAATAAATTTTATTTATCTGTATTAAATTACTATTAATCATTGAAGACTGTTTTCGTAAAGCGTGCTTGTTTTTTTTATTAATTCATGCAAAACTAATTTCCAATGAAAACAGTGGTGTTTCATAACTATTTGCATACATATATGAGGATATTTAAGTGAAATGGAAGTAACTGTAGATACTAGATCCTTCTTTTTACTCTAAAATAGTGTAATATTAATCAAATTGTGAAGAAATTTTACAAAATGCTTATCGACCCGTAATTATTTGCACTTAGAATAAAAGTCTAAAAATTTAAATACTAAGAAAAACGATTTTGATTTCAAATCATAGGAGTACCGTTTAGATAGAAAATGACCTAAAGCAACTGACAAAGACTGAATAAAATTATAAATCTAAATATGTATCCGAGCACAATAATTTTTACGAATAGCATTTAAAAGAAAATTTTTTATTTAATAAAGGCTAGAATAAACCTTTCATTGACAGAAGCTTAATAAAATACCTCAGAATCAAAAATATGATCTCTTTTTGAAAGTATAATTCAATTCAGTCATAATAAAATAAGCCAGAATTAAATAATTACGATAGCAACATTGTTCTTCTTTTGAACAAATGCAGCGAAATGTAAAGAATGAAGCATGTACCGAGAGAATCATATTTTCACTCTCAGCTAGCTTTCAATAAATTTCTTATAGTAAAATAATACTACTAATAATAACAATTTTATAAACAAGTAAAATATGGTATCATTCCTTTTTCAAAATTTTCTTACAAAATAAAATCTATCTTTAAAACTAATTAATGCAGTATTTTCTAAATCAACTTTAAAATGTTTGAATGCATATTTTAAATAACGCTGAAGAGAAACCCCACAAAATATTGCAGAGTTCGCATTTTAACATAGGTACACTAGGAGCTAATATCCATTATATCTTAACTTGATTATAAGACCAAAAAAGTATTAAAATGAAAATTAATGAATGCTGTTTTTTGTGTGTTACTTAATGGAATTTCTGCTTACTCGGATAAAATTTAAGCTATGGAAGAACATTCAGCTTTCATTTCAGTACAGGATTAGCATAAGGGAGCTTTTAAAGCTAAGAATTTTAAGTAAAAAGCGTAATTCATCTTATTTTACGCTTCAGTAGTAAATGTCGAGGCATTGAACCTTGTCTTATCGTGTTTAATTCCTCATTTATTACAATAAAAAAGCTAGGTCTTTGATATTTTTTCATGAAATGCTTTTCGGTTACTCCTTTTAGCATAAAAATGTATAAGACCTTAGAAGATGACTTAATCCTCTGATATATCGCTCTTCATAATACGCTTTTAAGATCTTATTTTATATATAAGTTCCCATACTAAAATATCTTACTAAGGCCCATTATAAGAAGAGTAGTAAATTGAATAAACTGAATTGCGAGACAAGCTTACAAGAAAGTTCTGAAAATTTTTCCCAAGTAAAACCCATGAAATTAAAAACAATCTTAAGCGCTTTAATACTTGCTTGTTTTTTCACATAATATGTATTTTTCGGGAGAATGCAAGAAGACTTCTATCCTTTCTCGCGATGAAGTAAATGCTAGTTTTGTTCACATCTTAGATCAAGCGATCTGAATTTTATGCTTTTATATAATGGATATTAGCTAATATTATGTAACCACAATGTCTCCGATACCATTTTACAAGCTTTGTCAGCCTGGTCGTCACCATCGAGACGGCCTGGTAGGATGGTTGGTGAATCCTGACTACTTGTCTGAATTTAAGTATGCGGGTGTAAATTACTAAGGCTTAGTTAGTTGTTTATGTGTATCCTTCGCTTCTTCCAAGTATAATAACGGTAGATGTACCTTGTCGGTACGCCCAAGATACCTTGAGGGGGTATAATATCGATGGATGGTAACAAGGGTATAATATCAATGAATGGTCCAAGGGCATCATATCGATGGATACCCTTAGAGAATATAGCTGATGAAACTTAAATGATAGATAGGCTTGGCCATCACCAACACATGCTTGATAAGCAAGTACCCGGTCATTTGAAAAGAAATTAAAAGCAGCAAACTTTTAGATTTCATATATATTAATACTTTCATTTTTTCATAGTGTATACTGGTATTTTTGTTACTTTTAGACATAAAGAATTTTTATATTATGAGGGTTCTTTTGTTTTTTTCAAACATGTTGTTTTACTTCTTCTTGCTCGAACATATCTGCCAACAAATGTAATTTTTGAATTTTTAGCTCAATTTAGAACAAAATAATAATGGGGAAATTACTAAATTTAACTAAAACCTTCTAAATCGATTTTAAATCCATTTTTCAATCCGTTTTGGGGAATATAGTTCTTGATTCTGTTCGTACGTACATTAAGTCACGAAAAACATATTGATTCAACAGCCGTTTTCGCGGAAATATGATACCTGGAATTATAATACTTTCTTTACTTCGTATGAGGAAGTAATGAGGAACTGAAAATTTTCAATTTGCCTTAAAAAGTCTCTCTGGTATGGTTGTACTACTACGAAAAAAAATTACTTTTATGTTTACTTGTATTTAATATTTTATTTGTATACGTATATGAAGTGAAATTTATTATCTTATTATAACATTAAGATTAACATATTTTACAGAATCATCAGTGAATTCGAGTATATTACACTTCAAACAAGTCAGTCGAGATCATATGGGGCATTACATATGCATAGCTAGTAATGGCATTCCTCCTCCTGCTTTCAAGAAATTTAAATTAGAAGTGGCTTGTGAGTTATGATTCTTATTATTGGCGTCTATTAATTGTTTTTAGTATATATTTCTTTTATAACCTCAAATTGTGGTAAGCATACTACATTTACAAAATTATATAAGTATTGTTTATTGTACTGTGTGTTGTTCGTAAATCGTGCTGTTTCTTTAAACCTTTTTTTATTCACTAATATTTACGGTACATTAATCCTGTTGAGATAGAACCAACAGATACAACTTGAAAGATTTTTAAGAATAATTTCAGTTTTATTAAATTCATCCGAAGTTTGTCGAATGGAACGAATAAGCTTATATAGCGAAAGAATATCGTTCTCAATTATTTGACGATGTGTTGAAATATTTCTTCTTTTCTAAATGCTGTTAAGATTTTAATCTACTACAATAAATACATATGCAATAGTATGTATTTATTGAGTAAATAATGTGCACCTAATAAACATGCGAAAGCTTGTTCTTAGGTTTGCACTTTATTTTTATGCTTGTGTTCTGTTTACTATTTTTACACAATTGATCTATTTACTGAATGAATAAAAAATAGCGAAATATGTTTCATGTTTAAATTTTAAAGCTAAATGTTGTTTTCATGTAGATATACGTTTCACTGCCGAAACAAAAGAAGTAATGGATCATACAATTTGAATATAAAAATACGTAAATTTTATGCAAAGGAACTATTTATTATCTAAATTTGCAAATGATATATATGTATCATTTCTTAATGATATATGTGTCTCGGTAACACAGATTTAAATGTAATGATAAATAATATCACTTTAGAGTTTCTTACTTTTATTCTATTAAACTAAGTGTTAAGGAACCTAGTGATCTTCTAAGCGAATACTCGCTTAAGTCTAAGAACAGAAACATAAACTCAAGCGTTAATTGCCCTTTATTCACTCCAAATAAAAATTAACAGTTGGCTCCTTTCTTAGAGCGTACAGCAAAGCCTCTACTTAGGCTTAAACTCAAAATGTAAGAAATAAGAACTAACTAATGTAATGACTAACTAAAAAGATTTAGCCGAAGCTAACACAATTCTAAACTAGTTAGCCCGTAATATTAAATTAGCCAGTGAACTATCCAAAGGCACGTGATACGGCCTAGTGTAGAACTTAGAGAGACGTAGCCTAAAGGTCTATAGGTAGTCAGGAATCCCCACTCTCTGGGGCGAAGTCAGTGGAACTTGACTAAATACTAACCTACTTCTCATTTGCATTTAACGCGATTCTAAATCTTCATTCTGATAGGGAGTTGTAAGCTGAAGCTAGAAGAGAAAGGAGAGAGGCATAAGCTAAAAATGACTGTTATAAAATTAATATATACTTTACAAGCTAATGAATATTAATAACGATGTTGGTCGTCATTTGAAAGCATTCTGGAGATGGCATTCCACATCGTAAAATGCCAAAGCATTCGTCTTTGCCATTCAGCTAGTAGTGTCCTCGGGTTGTGAGCTTACTGTGATTGTTCGAATGCACGGACATTTCTCTAGAAATCGATTATTAATCTTACTGCTTTGGAGATAATTTATTGAAGTGAAAAATAACTCTTGCGTAATCTTGTGAATAATTTGTGGCAAAAAAATATCATAAAAATTACACGAATACGAAAATATGATGATTCTACCATTTTTAACGTTTTGACAAGATAATTAAATAACAGATCTACAATCGCACTGCTTTCCGTATTCTGATTGAAGTTCTATGCAGTATTCTTCAGTTCTCAAAATTGAATATCATTTTAATGTGTTTGAAAGATTACATAAAAGTATATTTTATAGGTAATTTCGAAAAATATGAACCTTCGTTAATTTGTTTAAGCTCGTATCATGATTTGAAACCATTAAATGCGAACTAAAAGTTTAAATCAAAGATCAATTACGAAATACCTTGATTATTTCTGAGGCATCAAATGCTTATAACTCTAGAAAGTCACATTCTTCTTTTAACTATTCAGGCTGATTAAAGATTTTGCAATTATTCATATTCATTCTTAAAATGCTTAAATTGAAAAGTAAAAATGAAGTAATTATTTATTAGATATTTTTTTTTAATTCTCTTCATCTATTATTTTCCTGCTTTGAAAAGGAAACATTAAACTTTATAATAATCATTGATTTGTAATCACTCAAAAACATTAATTTGCCAAAGGTCTATGAGCAAATTTTTTACACATATGAATTTTATTATTTGAAAGTAACTTGAGCGAAAATATAAAACGCAATGATAATTTCTGTTGTTCTTGCTTTTTTAAACAATACTCTGCATATATTTTCAGAATAAAGAAATTGACAATAAATAAGAACTAAACTAAAATGCTGAAACAGTTGGAAAGCGTAAGAAATAATGAGAGGTTATGTCATGAAACATAAAATGAGGTTGGGATTGCAAAAGAATTTTGATATATGATTATTTGAAAGCGAAAAGGAGGCGTAGCGACAAAAAGAGAAACAGTTTCTTCATCCATCATAATGGCTTTGTAAAATTGCGTTGATGTGACATCTGCAAAGTAAATAATACGTCACATTACATTTCTTTTTCTAAACACAGGAAGAAATTTATTTTTCATAATAAACTGCGCACATTTATGACATTTATTTATCTGAAACAAATTTTCCTGCCTGTTTGTTAATAAAGGTATTAAATTGCTTGAATTTGATTTTGTTTTATTTCATTCAATTGCCATTATTTCTAATGTTTAAAGTGAAATTCGAATTTAAAGTGAAATCATTCCATCATGAAGCTTTCAGCACATGAAAGCAAAACTGTAATAGAAACCTCAAGACTTAGCATTTGAACAAGTATGAGGTATTTTCTCCCTCCTTTCTGCATGGCTTATTAGTGTAGCAGTAGCACACTCGCCGCGTATTCGAGAGGTCCAAGTTCGAGTTCCGGCGACAGCATTGCTCATTTTTCATATCTCCTGTTTCAAAATAAAAACTCTACAGTGGCCCCAAAACTAAAAAGGTGGTGTATAAAGATTCTTCACTGCTAGAACTTGGCGATCCCCTAATCTCCAGTCGCCCTTCAAAAGGGAGGAGTATATAACGTATTTTTTTATCCTTTCTGCATGCCTTCGTGGTGTAAGGGTAGTACAATCGGTGCGTATTCGAGAGGTCCATGTTCAAGTCCATGCGGGGGCATTGCACGTTTTACATGTCTCCTGCTTCAAAATAACCTAATGACTATATACAGGGATGTTTGTTAAAACGTTTCTATTCGGGAGTCACCAATTGACAGTCACCATTGGTGGAGTGAAGAAGATCGCTGAACACTGATAATTCGGTCCAGGTTCAATTCCTGATGAAAGAAATGACCGGAGCATCACATGATTTCGTTTTCACATGATTATTATGAATAAGATCCATTTTATCTTAGTAAATTATCCATGAAAACATTCCTTCCCTTAGACAAATAACCTTAGTGTTCTTAAGTGTAATTCAATGGAAACTTTGCAGTCTCGTAAATGCTGTGTTGCTTTTTAAGTAGTAAGCCGTGATTGAGCTGGTGGTTTTGTTTCACTTTAAGTATTTATTTCACTTTAAATTTGGCCTGCAATGTATAGGTGAGCTTAGATGTGTGTATTAAATGTTATGAAGCAGACCACTGCGCAGTTAGTTATTCTTACATTTTGCTACGGATGGATTTAAACCCACGTAAGTTTATCCGGTTCCGTCTTTTATTTACAACTGCAATTCAGATCATATTTTTATTTACCGGGTTGTCCCAATTGCACGAAACTACACTTCCTCATGCTACCAGCGTCGTGAAGAAATTCATTGGGCCATACTTAAACATGTTAGTATAGCTTTATAGCTTTAGATCCCTAAATTTGCAGTTTTCACACGTGTACTTCTGAAAACGTTTTAGTAAGATCATAAGATCTAATCTGATGACGATGCAAAAGAAGCTTATAAATTGGAGTTATGCAACAAAGAAACATTTCTCCCAAAAGAGAGCAACAGTCTTGTTCTCAAAAGAACAACTGTCTTCGAGACTGCGGTAGTTTCTTAAAAACTCGATAATAGGGCCCTATGGCCTTTGGTATGAAATACACCATTAAATCTTTGTACAAATAGAAGTGGATGTCATAGAATAAAATTATAGGAGAGTCAAATTCTCCTCACTATGCAGTTAACATTTTTTCTTACCCAGCAGCCATTAGAAATAATGTATTATTTGTTCCTTTAGTCAAGTAACATTAACAATAAAACATGAAAATAAGAATTCGTGCATATTAGGTGCTTAAGCTTTTATCGTTACTTAAACGGTGTAACATAGAATGAAGTTTCAATGATAATTCCTCGTGGAAAGAAGCGCAATCAAGCTGAAAAGAGCCTCATATAGACAGCATAAGTAATGCTCTTGAGAATCTTTCCATGAGCATTTGAAAAGCAGGAACGTTCCATCTTGAATGAGAAATCAATATTTGCTCCAATCTTACGGTCGAGAGTTGTGAATTCATTCGTGAATTCATTCATGAAATTCTTTTCAAAAATTTTGATTTTTGAGTTCCTAGGAATTCCGTACAAACAACTACGTATTTTGTATGGAGTTAAGTATGGAGCTAAAAATGCCAAAATATTTAATGAAATACTTATCTCGCATACTCTAAAACATCACTAAATTAAGCAACGTTTAACTGGAAATTCTATTTGTGTTTAGGTGCAGAAACGTTTTAAATATTTATAAGTCACTTCTTACCGATTGGTGGATTATACTGAAACTAATAAATTCTTTGTGTTTCTACATTTTGCCTCAGTCAAAAATTATTTAACTTAAATTAGAGGAAAAACAAGGAGCGCTTTTGTTGCAGCAGTTCACATAGAATTCCCATCCAGGTATGATAACCTATTTTATAGAATCCTACTCCGTCTAATGAAAGCAATTTAATGAAGGTATTAAACGTTGTAATGCACCCATGGCATCTGTAATGAAACTAGAGAGATCTGTAATGTTAGAGCACGACTCTGCATTAAATTATGACATTTAGACCTGTTTTTGAAAATGCTTAAATACGATTCCATAAACTTAAGAGACATAAGCTTTCGCTCAAATATTTCCTTTTTGCAGTACCTCGATTCCAAATGTTGCAAATAAAGCATGCGATGAAATTTAGGAATTTATTTTAGTGGAATTTGATGTATTAGAGAAAATTTCAAATGTTATTATTCCATACATGTAAATATCTGCATTGACTCCATTTTGCACATTTATGTTTATAAGAAATACCGCCAAGTATACGTATTTTAAAACTGGTAGGCGATTTCTAGCATCTGAGATTATATTTATCTGTTTACAGTATTAAACGCAAAGTAGTTACGAATGTGAATGTATGATATGGTTAATTACATATATATAACATATTTCTTTGTTTTATGTTAATAGTTCCACCACTGATAAAGATTCGAAACCAGATGGTAGGCACAGTTAATGGAAGTTATGCTTTGCTGGAATGTTTTGTAGAAGCTCACCCACCAGCAGTAAATTTCTGGTTACATGGAGATAACAGATTAGTAGAGCAAACCTGGAAGTACAAGATTGATCAAAGGGATGACCATTACCGAACGCACATGGTACTGAACATCAGCTATATCGAGCCTTTAGATTATGGTTTATATAAATGTGTTTCCAAGAATGATAAAGGGAAAACTCTAGGTGTCTTCACCGTTTTCGGTAAGTTGCATTTTCTTTTCAATCACATTTTTAAGAAATCCATGAGCTGTTATAGAATTTATTTTATTCTAAAGCTTAAACAGTACTGGTCAAAATATTTCAGTAGAAACAGAAAAAAGAAACTGCATGCAAAATTTGTGTTCAGTCCTCTTTATTGCCTGTGACCTTATACGTATGGACGTGCGAGAGTGTATGATGGGATGGGATGTAATGAAACTTCGATACATATAAATATTTTACGCTAGAAACGCTGCCCAACAAAGATAGTAGTTAGTGACTCTAAAATCGTACCTCGGGGCCCGGCTTCGAATTCCGGAGAAGGCATATATGTATAATGTCTGTGCGACATAGAAGCATTGCAGCAAACCGAAAGTTCTCTCGAGAGGTTGATGGTGGAGACCTTTCGACCCGTTCCCCCGGTTAGTCGCCTTCAAAATTGGGGAACGTATTACCTTAAACCTCAAAAATCCTTATTACTTTAAAACTGCTAAACACATGAAAATGATTCAAGTATTTAATTATGAAAGAAATGTACATTTTGATGAACGCAAGGCAAAGAAGTTAGCACGTTTTCCTCCGCCTAAATTAATAAACCTTGAATTACCTGTGTTTTGTTTTGCTGAAATTGTTAACACTTATTCACCACTAGCGAAGCTTCAGAACTTCGGGATAGTGGTGAATAGTGGTGATAGTGGTTCGGGTGTTACTGCCTTATTGCAAAAGAATTATTTTGAGAAAAAAAGCCAAGAAACTTTTAGCGAACAATGAACGATTTGCGACACCAAGCTCTTACGGATAGGATTAAAGTAATGATTACGATCACAGTTCCATAAATAAAGGATTTGAAATGAAATTTTGATGTCTATCATAGATGAAGCAAATATTGAAATAAATTGAACAATGACGCAGACGTTGGACGTTTTTAGCCTTTTAATATTTCAGTCATTTCGGTATGATAGCAAGTTTTCAAATAATAGTGTTTTTTGTTTGTTTTTTAATTCATTTTATTATTTGCTTTTTAAATGTGTGTAAGCAGAAATTTCATTATGTGTTCTAAAATTCGCGGAAATACTTATTTTACGTTGATTCCAATGTTTAAAAGTGTTTTAAAAAGAAACCTAAGTTTTACGATAGTTCTTATATAGCTTATTTTTAATATTTGGGCGAAATCCAGAAAACATGTGTCAGTATTTCACAAATCATTTAGAAATGATGTGTATTAAATTTCTGAACTCTGTTCTACTTTAATGTTCTCTTTATAGTTTATAGTTCTTTATAGTACTCTGTTCTACTACTATGTTCTACTTTTTATAGATATACCATAATAGTCATAATGCTTACTAACATTTTCCCTAAATATGGTACTATTCTTAAGAATAGTAAAAATATATCAAAAGGCTTCCTGAGGCAACGTTTAGAATACAGGTTTCTTTGAAAGTACTATTTTCAGTTAATTATATTTCTTATTTAGAGATTCAGCAACATATATTTTTAACATTCTAAGATTGCTGTACAGAAAAATGAATCTCATTCTTGTAATATTTTTTGGGAAACGATAGAAATGAAATTCAACTTTTATAAATAGTATTAAAAGCAATAAGACTTAATATTTGCATTTCAACATTATCCAGTAGTTTATTTAATTCTTGATAAGATTGGATTTAAAAAAATAAATTTTGCTTCTTTTCATTAGTCATGAATGCTAAACTGTTTTACAAATTGTAATATTTAACCGTAACTGTGACTATAATGTCTACCATATAGAGCAAAAATTCTAGTAATAATATGAAGTTTTGTGTAAGTTCAATGACTAAGAACGTATTTTTCTTGTGTTGAAAAAATTAAGTAATCCTTAATTAAACTTTGATTAATTTGTCTTGTGTATCAAAATAGTAGTATCTAAACTCTTATTCTATTGTTCGTTTACCCAAAAACAAAATTTGAACTGCCTGTAATGAAAACCTGCATGTTTTCCGAAGATAAGACAAAGGGAAAATAATCGCAGTTATTACATAAATAAGTAAGAATAATCTGTATAATTTGCTAATTCATTTCACTATCAGACTGATACATTTGAAATTTCATCCTTTAATAAAATAAAGTTTTTTCTTTCTCTTTGAAAATTAATATAAAATTTCCTTGAAAGCAAATAACTATGACATTCATACAGCAGTGTTTTAGAAAACAGTCTTTACAAAATGATGAAACACTTTTTCACATATAATTTTGTTTTATCTTGTTTACAAAGTCGGGCTAAACGAGATAAAATCTTATAAATCTTAATATCGTTTCCTTGTTAATTTCAATATACGCCTAAGTGTAGCGAACTATTTATGAAGAATTTTGGTTATTTTAGGTTTGATTTCTGTCTACAAACGTAGAACTTATCCTAACAAGAAAATTACTGAGATCTAAATTAAGTTATTGTGAAGTTAAGAAAAATCTCATGTCGTCATCACATGACTTCTTCATGCCTATTAAATTATACATTTTTTTTTCGCTGCATTTCATTTAAACGTATTTCCTCGAATTTCATCAGAGATATATTTCTCATTCAGTTAATTCAGACCTCACATCATGGCAATGCAGAAATGCATGAAAATCAAAACACCTTCATAAAAAATTGTAAAATGCAGAAACACATAAAACACCAAATACAGCTAAAACAGTTAAAAAAAGCAGTTTTTACAATTAAAATTTAAACGCGAAACGAGTTCAAACGTAAAAACAAGCAAATTCGGCCAGTGGGCAACAACGCAGATTTTTCAGTGTACAAAACTGAAAGTTTCCTTTGGTACCTCTCGGCAAAAAGACACTGAAGGTGCAGAACCTTACTTAGTTCACTGTTCTGCTAAGTTTCAAATGCAGACAAGTATGGCTACTCCATTAGGCTTAGCCGCACTTAAAAACGTTAAATTAGTAATAATTCTAAAACTATTGTATACCGATTAACTAAAGGCATAAACCGGAACATAAGCACAGCATAATGCAATCATTTTTTAAACCAAAAATGCACTATTTACCAACATACTATAAGAATCAAAAATAAATAAATAAATAAATAAATAACTGAACTCAATGAACCGAGTTACAGAGAGGGGAATTATTTATTTATTTATTTATTTATATACTTTTAGTGTGGCTGATTATAAGCAAAAATAGAGGTGTACGACTACATTTTATTCTCCTATATACAAAATTTCAATGTTCTGAGGCTACTCGTTTTTAAGCTATGCGAGATACATAGACAAGCTTGTATGTACAGATGTCACGAAACAATCTCTTCTATACCCATTTTAAATCTATTTTGCAATCCGTTTTGAGGAAAAGAGTTCTTTATTCTGTCTTTACATATAGATGTCGGTCAAAAACATTGCATTCGATAGCGGTCAAAAAAGGATGTTTTCGTTGAAATATGGTACCCGAAATTTTTCGAGATTACAATATTTCCTTTATTTCGTACATGGAAGAAATTCATTAATTATAAGATTAAATATTAATAAAGTTAAAGGAAATTCAGTTAGTTATGAAATTACACATACCTTTTTAAGAACTTAATTTAACGGAAAGATGCCATTTCAATAAAACATTTTAAAGTGGAATAGTCAGTTACTTATATTCCAACTAGAATATATGGTAGTTCGTAAATAAGAAGATTAGTATCATCTTTCAAAAGTAATACGGCGCACTCATCAGAATAAAAATTTAACTTTCGAAAAAACTTGTGTTTTATGAATAATTAAAAATGGATGTACGCTGATTTACTTTCATACTTTCAATTAAGAACTTGCCTTCAATTCGCTATTAACGAATATCACTTGTGCACAATATTTAATGCTATTTGAAAGAATATGCTTCAGTTTTCTGCCTTTATATTTTCACAGCAAAGAGTGGATTATCGTTGGCAGTTGAGTAAAACTATCTACAATAACTAAAAACTGTCACAGTCTCTACGCTTGACAATAACGAGAAGTCTCCAAACGACGTTTAACTTATCTTTAACATGTAAACGTCAAAGTGACAGGTATTAAAAAATACGTGATACATTTGTAAATACAGTGCAAGATAACAAACGTTTCCGCCTTCAAACATTGCTTTGTAAATGAAAAAATATTTTGTTGATCTTTTTCTCCAGTTTGATGTAAGGATTAATATCGATACTTCAAAATGAAACGGAATTCTGCATCATATGTTCTGAATTTCTAAGCACAAATTATCTGCTTTAATACTTTTTATTAAAGATGTAAAATCATTTATGAAATGTGCAAAATAAGAAAAAAAGATAAATGCACATTTCAGTTTATTAAGGATTCTCTGAAGAGTTCTGTAAATAAAATTTTTATTTTACTTCACTACAAATAGTACATACATTTTCATGCACATGAATCTTTTATTTGACATTTGCAGTTATTAATTTTAAATAATACATGCGAATTCAAAATAGATGCCCTTCTAAAATGCACATTTAATTATAACTCTTTGTTTATATGTTGTGATAGGATCTCTTAAGTAAAATACTACGGGTTCGTGGATTTGGAGTGATTGATGACAATGCTTGACGAAACACAATTTATTCGTCAGTATTACACAGGAGTGTTCCAAAGACACGTTTGCAGCCGTCGAAAAACTACGATAAATATGCTGAAACAATCAGCAACACAACCTTCAAACTACAACGGTGAAAACAGCTTCACGGCAAAGCACTAACGTATACAGCTCCCCACTTGGTTCGGTCGCTTTCGGAGCTCAAGACGCTACTACTGAACTCAACATATTCTCGATACTCTCCACGATAAACTACTCCGCGTACAGGCATGGTTTTATATAGATTTTGACCTGCCTTCGAGAAAATTTTGGGATAAACTGGTAAGAATTCGTTCTAGAATATTCTCGCTCCGTCTATGGTATTTCACCAATTTTTTCGTCAAATGTCGCCAAGTGGACGATTTCACACCAAATCTTTCTACCCTGTCTCTTTTTGCCATTTCTGACAACCCCAA